AGTAAATACTGATCAAATGGTGCTGCCTTTTCATGTCGTTACAATATTCTACGTTTTGTGCTGGGAATTCTTTAGTGTAACCAAACATTTATTAAATAAAGCGGCTATTAATAATGCGCATACAGAAACACTTTGAAAGCTTACTTTTGATAGAGAAGCGGAATATTAGTCTTATTTGCTCATTATCTGCTATTCAGGCGCTATCACTGATGATTTTGCCGACATCTGTTGATCTTACTCATAGAAACCAAGCTAACAAATACAGTTGTGCTAGTGGAGAACCTGAAGGTTGATGGGTGCATTTTATTTAGTAAGGGTCCGAGGTATAACAGTGACCAGGGCTTGGAGACTGTTGAGACATCTCACAACCGACCAGTGGGGTAGGTGTATTAATTCTTAGTCTTTCCCTATGTCTTAAGCCTTAGTATTACCTTGTACTCTTAATCCATCGAATTCATTTCCTTTCGAACGGTATTCACCAATGTTTCATCTTTTCCAATATAACTGATACCGCTGTTATTTCAGATTTTGGTGTTCCTCCTAGTAATTTCGTCTCTCCGCACTGATATGGTGTGGTACATCTAACTGGATTACGTTTATCCCAGGTCCCATGTTGACCATGACTAACTACAATGACTATATGAATTCCGGATTCACTTTGTCTTGACGTAGCGGTTGGTGAGATTGACCCAGGGATATACAGGGAAATGGTATCATTATCGATCATAACTAAAGAGGTTTATCAGAAGAACATCACTTGGACTCCATCGTGTGTTGTTACGTGTTTGCATGTGCCTTTGTCTAAATATGCACAAGAAACGTACATTTGGAAAGTGTGTGTGTTTGGTTTGATAGTAAGGCTGTTTTTAAAGAGGAAATTGGTTAGATCGTTGACAAAACATGCAAACGATCACAGTAAAGATGTAGTTTGGTATGGAAACAACGGTAGGTCATTTAAACATAAAGTATGGGTCTTGGCACAAACTTGGATTGGCTCATGTTGATGTCCAGAAAACACGTAGAGTAAGTTTACAAAGTGAATATCATAGGAGTCAAGGTAGCATTAATAACATGGGAAAACTGAATAGAACATAGTTCACAACGAATTAATGAAATTAAGGGATAGGACATATGACCTAAGTCAATTTAAATCTCTACGGTTGTTGTACAGACTCTAACTGGGAAGTTTGCACTTCTGAACATAAATCAGTCTAATAGTCAATCCCTTTAAAGAACTGGTGCCAACTGTAGCATTCTTATTAGCTACTTCTATGCTAGCCGCCATTGGATATGAAGAGAGATGGCGTCTGAAAGTACTCCACCCATGCAGCAGGCATCTTAGCCAATAGAAGTCCATAGCACCATTAATTGGTTCATAATCTAACTAAAACTGTGAATAATCTTGGATCCCTTAATGGTCTTCATACAGATAAACTACCTCAAAGACATCTGTAGTCAAACACCATCAACCCACACTGTAGCCGTTATTTTGACGAAGTGGTCAGACTTGTCAACTGTGACGCCGAACTACGTTACCTAGGATCCTTCCCCATTAAATATTTAATTGAAGCAACGACAGTTGTAGACTGTTTGAAAAAGGATGTAGATATTTCACGTTTACAAAAAGCTCTGATCGAGATTGAAGATGGTAGAGTTAGGTTAGGGAAAATAGATGTAAAATGATCGTTTGTGGGGCTTATTATTTATAGATTGTGTAAATAATGACTAATTCTATGTGGATTAACGAGCATCATTTTTAATAGTTTGTTTAATACAAGTATGTTAACCCATGCTATCTGTTTAGAACGAGCTTACTTCACAATTTAAGTTACATTACATCTGTTTTTAAAATAGGTTGAGGAGAGTATGGAGAATCTTTTAATGGTGGTAGAAGAACGTAACCGTGCAGAAGATGAATTAGAAAAAGGTGAATGGGTTGGTCCAAAGGTTGTGGAGTCAGTAGACCCGTTGGGTCGAGCAGTTCAGACACTGACCAGTGAACATCTTTCTCCTAAAGTTATACCAAGTCATGCACAATCAGATGAGTGCATGTGGAGTGAAAAAACGGTGAACTTGTTGCGGTTGGAGCGCGAGAAACGAATTATCAGAAGGCGCGAAGAGCAACGAAGACAGCGTTATTCCGACAGGCTTAAACACTGGAACAAAAGTGACTATCTCAACGAAGATTCGATTTGAAGCCAATTGGCATAAACTTATATTATCTTAGTGTATATATTGTATATAAGTACTTTAATATCTACATGTGTTAGTTTAGCCGACTATAAGGAAATATTCTATGGCTTATAACAGTTCCGAACATTTTCTGAATTTAAATCACAAACCGACATGTTGCGGCAATAAATCTTAGACAATTTAGTTCACATTGACTGTAGCTAAGCAGTTCTATTGGTTGTCTAGTTTGTCCAGCCTGTAATGTAAACTACGAAATCCAACAATCCCCGGGAAATCTCGTATACTGAAAGTAATGGTTTTCTTAGAGTTGCGTGAGCCAATAACTAATAAAAGCCTAGATTAACACTAGGTAAAATGCCACAATAAACCAGTTTCCAACAGATCTCGTGGCACTTATCAAGCGTACATTCTTAGTATGGTCTGATGTCACTTTCAGGTCCAGAAATACGGCCGGATCCACGATCTTTGGTCTTGCACACAAGCGCTTAACCTTCAGACTACTGAGAAGGGCATCCATGTCTGGCTTCAATCTATCTATCATCTTGCGCAACCCATCATCGATTGTCTGAGGAGGAACGGTTGTGAGGAACCATGGATCGGTTGAAGTTAAACATAAGCATCGGTGGATACCCCTCTTAGTAGTCTGGGGGCTTGTGTACAAGACTAAAGATCCTGGGTCCGAGTCCCACGTGCGGAATCGTAGATGAACACCACTGAGGAGTCCCATGCTGGGGCGAAGCGTATTTCTTAGCGCGTTACCTGGTCCTGTTTTTGCCCCCGGCACTCCTACTCTGACTCCAGCAAAATGTGGATTCAAGTTATTACGTAGTAAAAGACTAACATGCTAAGGAATACACTAGTCTGGGTAGAGTATATTCAAGTCACTGAGGGGTCCCACAATAGGTTTTCAATGTTGGCCTAGGTTCAAATGACTCACAAGAAACCCCTTCTGATACAAATGTTTATTTGTTTGACTGTGATTCTTAAATAGAATAGTATTCGCTGAAAAAATCGGGAACTAATTTCATGATAAAAGAACTGGCTGGTGGTAACAGAATCACTAGGATCTAGAAACCTTTGGTTTTATATTGGGACACCCAAAATATTAGTATCTTTCGGAAGGGTATATCTAAGAAGGGGATTGGTAGAGGTTCCTTGTAAACGCCACGATATACTTATATTACGAATAGAGTCCCTTAATGCAATTTACGAAGAAAACTAATCTACACCAAGTTTTCACTACATTACTTTCTAGACTATTAATGTATTTCCACTATGATTTGTATTTAGTGATAATTACTCAGTACACAGATTATAATCGATGTATAACCGATCAACTTAAACATGCTTTTAATTCCACTGGGTTCATCATTAACAAAACTTCTGTTGAGAAACTGGGCTTCTTACTGTAGTTAGCGAAGTAGGGAAGAATAGAGTAGCAGTAGTCCCATTCACCGTATTGATATTGAAGTTGCTAGTTATTCCTTGTAAACGCCTAGGTGTCCTTAAACTTAACCGATAATAATCAGTCAAAATATTTCTAGTGAAATAGCTACGGTGATCATAATTATGTGTAGTTAACTATTGACCTCTGAGGTGAATATGAACAATGATAAAAGTTATAATCTCAACATTAGTGTTACACATATGTACATATATTTATTAGTAAAAACACATTTCACATTGACTAGGAACGTAACTGCTTTTCCAATTCTAGTGTCTTTACTAAGGCGTGATTCAACTTCTTGCCGACACTTGTTGCTAACTAAAAATAAAGCGTGTTAGTCAAGATTGTTTTTACCTGTGACATTTCAACAATTGATTCTAATTGACAACTACAACATCCATCTTGTTCTAAAGAACCAATTGAACCATCTGGATAGATAACAAGAGATAACCTAAAACTACTTGTTAAGAACAATTTATTGCAAATCTGACCTGGATAATGAACAGGCTTCTTCCTCCTTACTTGCATCTATGATATACGTTTTTCCAATCTAGAAAATCAAGTGAAAGCACATTGTCTTAAGGTTTTTGAAGTAACGATTAAAACGGGTTGTTTTTAATGGCTTGGTTTTCAATTCTAAAAACAAGGGTAAGCCATTTATCTAATTAGTATCGTTTACATTCAAGGAACATGCTCAACCAATAGTCCGGTAAACTAATCTGTAGCTGATTGGACAAGAAATTCGGCTAACGGGTGAGTCGATATGGTTATGATGAATAACATAACTAAACTACTTACTTACGCTGCTATGAATCCGGTGCCATCTTGTGCTGATGCGGTATGGCAACCTGGACCGATGCACACATGTGCCTGGTCCTACGTTGTAGCTGACTGACTTACGCTGTTACCCCTCGTGGAGCAGCACAGGCCGCTCACCAACATTATCCATCCAACTGTCTGGGGTACTCTTTTCCAGTTGCTATTCGTCAGTCAGTAACAACGTAGAACTTCGTACGTACATACATCAGTTCGGGTTGCCACACCACATTAACACGGAGATGCAGTTGTCGACTCAATTTCCGTAGTGGTAGAGGTAGTAAGAGTATAAACAGTAACCGGAAACATTAGGGCTTGAAGATGTTACTCAAGGAGTATAATTCAGTGAAATAAATTTGGAAAGAGAAAAAAGAGAGGCAAGGAGGATTCAGGAAATTAGAATTCGGGAGAACACTAAGAGTGGATGCACTTGCGCCATTGCAAACGATTTTGAGCCATATCATTCAGGGTCTCTAACCATCGGTTGCTGTCATCTCGCGGTTCCCAACCAGGTAGTCTACACCTACCAACATGGCTCAGTCCACTTGTCAGTGACTTCATGGACTTGCTATTCACCCTTTTGATGTATGCTTCCAGTTCTCGACGCAGTGTATTCTCTGGAATTCCTCTTTTCCGTCTCTTCAGCATTCCAAGTAGGCGCATTCTTTGTGATGCAGTTTGATGATTCCTGAAATGTATGTCTCGTCCACCGCCATCATTTCTTAATTTTCGCTTCAGATAGAAGCTGGTTTATTCTCTCCCATAGTAGGCTGTTTCTGATGGCATGCGATCAACGAACATTGAGTATCGTGCGTAAACAGTTGTTTATAAATGCTTGTAGTTTTTTTATGGTGGTAGTAAAATGTAACTAAATTACCCGATTCAAATTAAACGTTTATATAAGATGACTAGACACAGCATGAACAAGTGTCACTAAATGCATAATACAATGTTGAAGCTCTTATACAGGAAATGAAATAAGCAGCATGTGAAAACATACATTTATTTTCGGATTTACTTTTACGAGTATACAGTGTTCTGAGTCAATTGTTAGTGGAAGGTCTAATGAATTAGAGGTATGCATGAAATATGAAGATCATCAGTAAAGTTTGTATGATACTGAAAGCATCAAATACATCAACACTATGACGAATATAACGTTAATTATAACCAGTAGTTTAATAATTAGACATTCTAAAACTGATTTACAAGTGTACTTACCTTATGTATTGTGACAAATAACGGCAACATATCTCCACGAAACTGGTGAACTTCTGTCTCAACAGACTTTGGGTTGTTTTGAAAAACAGACAATAGTAAAGAATTTGACTGTCTAAAAAGATTTCTTAAGATTTTAAAGCAACAGTGACATACGTAGCGTTTAGTAGAGCAGCTTTGACTACCAGGGAGGAAGCATCAAGTAAGTTTCCAGCACCTTCTAAGATCTGGGAAAAACAATTATATACGAAGAAAACTAACAAGCAGATCGATATAGATGACCCAGCACTGTCGACCTCGTTGGATACACAGAGGGCTTAGATCTATAAACTTCGATTGATAGGTTGATTGTAATGTTGTCTTCAAACGTTCCTCCAGCTCGGACGCTGCCTTCTCACTACACCGGTGAGTTGCTGTAGGATAACTGAAAACGAAAATTCTGTACAAACCGCCGGTTTTATAATCAAAAATGCACTTAATGTTACAGTTAATGAGACACATGCGATATTGAAAGCATATGTTGACACAAAACATTAAAAATACGCTTCAAAGTGATATATTATTTGAAGGTGAATACCTCTCATTTTTAAACCAACGAAATACGTGAGAGTACTTTATAAACTTTAGTAACACTCACCATTCAACATTTATTTCAATACGACCTTCACCAATGTTAGTTAAAGAAGGTTTGCCAACCTCCATTTTAACACAGCAAACAATGAATGTTTCACCCTATAAATGATTAAATCCAATGTGGATATGATGTACTTACAATACGAATACTAGCTGAACCATTCGCGTGACTTAAAATATTGGTTTCAATTTCCAAAGGTCGATATTCACTAGGTTCACGACCATCCATTCTACATCCCACCTAAGTTTAGTTGAGTTTAGCAAATAAGCTTACTTCAACTCCTTGTACTAAGTAGAAACGTTCAAGATCACTCAATAGGATTGTGTCCATAGTAATTCAATATCAAACCAAGCACTTTATTTCGATATACCTGTATATGAAAATAAAATTCATGCAATAGTACAAAAAAGTTTAACGACTGGTATTTACAAACTTTGAATTCGTATTTTTAAAATATTTGACCTGTGCATATTATAAAACTTTCAAATGCAACTAGCCCTGAAAATGAGGTATGGAACATCAGGTGTTTTTAATGATATATAAGGGACCAGAGAACATTTAAGTCCTCCACCAATTTCATAAAGTACTCCAAAATTCCAGTTCGAATATGCACAGACCAGTATTCTCAATAGTGAGTAAGTGTCTAGACAAATAGGAGTTTACTTCAGACTATTAAAAATAAATTGTAAGGTTTGATATTAATTTGATCGACTAATCGTTAAAAACATGACAAGTACATTCAATATGCGCAGTGAATCTCGAAACCTATTTTTTGGCCTTTAATCCTGGAGAAATAAGGGAGACTCGATAACATACACGGACGAAAGAAAGTACTTACGTGAGACTCACATGTGCAGTAACGCACAATTTTGAAAGCACGTGTGCCATAAGGTTGCACTTTTCAAACCTCAAACCATTCTCTAAAATTTGCCTATTGAAAACTTCAGTTGTTCGGTAGGAGGGCGTTCTTCCTAATGCAAAGACATACTTTATTTTGTGTTGTTCCTGGTAATGAAGTCCAAAACACGACAAATTTATTGATAGTAATTGTATTCAGTTTCGTACGCTGGGGACAACTTAAAATTTTATAAAATTCTATGCCTATAGGCATATGATATACTAAAAAGTTTGTTTCTCTCTTCCTTTTTCACGAGATAAACACATCATCTGCACAAATATGTGGGTGAAATAAGTTACTTACTTACGCCTGTTACTCCCATTGGACCATAAGCCGCCAACCAGAGTTCTCCAACCCACTCTGTCCTGGGACGTGAAATAAGTAATGAAATCACATAATGGTTGCGCACTGCTAAGGAGCCCATACTAGTATAAAACGGCCGTCCAGTGCCTCTAGGTTTTCAAAGTTAGTTTATCATTAATCATTTTATGTTCCCAGTAAAATGTAATATTTATTGGTAAATTCGAATCCATTCTGTTGCAAATCAGTGCTGTGTTCAAGAATATAAGCTTTCTATTTGGTCAGGTGTTATAACATTTTCGTCACACAGCAATTGTGAGAGATAAAGTTTTATAGGTCTTTATTATATTTCATACGATTTTTAATATTTATAAATTTGATTTGAGCCAAAAATAATGTTGAAGTGTACTACAAACCCATTATTATTCTCACCAGCTGCTTACGACTTATTTCTCTAGTCATTATTCTTCACTAACCAACACTTTTCCAATATTATGTTACAAAGTGTGTAAGCTAATTTCAGCGAATAATACTATTATGTTTAGGCTGTCCGAGGCTGATGAGAGATAGGGAAACCAGTGTCTAGTAGTAGGGATCGGATATTAATTGACCTATATTAGTAAATTTGTGGTAATGTGAAGATCCAGTCCCTTTTCGGGTGTATCAAAAGATGTAAGCAACTTGATATTGGTTTTTGAACTCTTTTGGGGTGAGTTCTCACATAATCATTCCTGAATGGAAAGAAAGGATAAGACAGATTACTACCAAAATCATCATCCAGTTTATGGTAAGAGAGCACTAAGTCACTACGTAAACCGAGATATGGTTACAGGAACATGTTGAAGCGTCTGCGTATGCATTCATAAAATGGGGTAACGAGACCTTTTTCCATTCTGGTCCCTCGCCGTTAAACATATTTTAGCATACCTGCTTCATATGCAAAACAAGGACTTATAGCCCGAATTCCATATTCCAAAGAAGGCTTCAATAAAGCCCACTACTCAGGGGCTCGGACTAGTAGTCTTAGTATCGAAATAGGAACAATAACGGGATGGTGTGCATATGATTCAAATACAACTCTCTTTGAAACTAACGCACAACAACAAAGCATTGCACTGTCCAATCGCTCATAGCAGATCAGGAAACCCGAAAATCACGCGTAAACCATCGGAGCACACCGTTAGCTCGGCGCATCCTAGACAAAATGAATTCAGTGATCTGCTTATCAAGGACCGATTCAGTTTTTCCCGGTCAGTGCATGCAATCAGTGCCGAGCTTGCCTATGGTAATGTCGGGTCCTGGTTTCCAAACTACTGCTCTGCCTCCACCTCCTCCAACCCCACCACCGCCACCCCTACATTTGCGCAACAGATGCAGGCTCCAGCTTCTAATCTCTTAGAAACCTTAATGAGCAGGGCAGGTCTACCTTGTAATACACTAAGCGATTTAAATCTAAATAATAAACCAAATGACAAACCTGATTCTGTTCGTGAGAGCTCTCCCATGAAACAAATCAACAAACTGTTAAGCTCAGCTGCAAGTTCTCTTTTAAACCAACTTGCAGGTAGCCAAAGAACGGATGTAGACACTTCCTCTTCTGATCCATTGCCACCTCCTCCTCCACCACCGTTACCATTCCAACAACATAATGAGCTGCCGCCAACCACTTCTACTCTGTCACATTCATTCGTACCTCCTCCACTCCCAGCAGTAATTAATCCGTTTTTTAACAACGAAATCGGTGACAAAGTGTTGCCTAATGGTGCATGTGGAGAAACTAAAACGGAATGTAAGAAACCTTTTGGAGACATGAAGATTGAGGAAGTACTAGCAAAGCGGAAAAGATACGACTTCTCTTCACGTCGTGAGTGGCAAGAACGTATTGCCTTGGAAGTAAAATCAGTTTTAAAACCTGCATACTCTCTACGACGTATAAATAAAGAAGATTACAAAGAAATCATGAAAAAGGCTGTTACTAAGGTAAGAGGTATCAGTAAATGTATACTAGTTCATTGTAGATTTCGCGAAGTGGTACTTCTTCAATCAATACCGAAAAAATAAGCACATTTGTAAAGCTGTATATTGAGAAATATCACCGTATGCATAAAATAAAAGCTCAGGCAACTGCAAAGGCAACTGTACAGTGAACGTGTTATTTTAATTTCATTGTAAATTGTATATAATATAGATTATTTAATATATACCAGAAGGTTATGTTTTTCAGCTCATGTTAGAAACCGCATCTTCTCTATTTATAGGTGTTTTATATAGTTTGTCATAATTAACATACAGCCTAGAATAAATGTGTGTTAGCCCAAGTTGCCATGTCACTTCAGGACGGCGAGTTGAAATTAACAAAAATACCAAATAAGTAGAAGTCATGTAGTATTAGTGTCAATGACGAGAACTAAACATGAAGAATATGGTTCGAAAAAGATGAGTTTTTAGTTATTATATACATCATAGGGTGTCGATATGTCACTACATTTTTTGGTGTAACTAATACAAATACAGTTATTCATGAGGCTTTCTTCCAACGGTGTTTCATCTCCAATTTCTGTCCTAGAAGTATGTAACCTTGATTATTTTATAGCTGTACCTACCTACATTTGTATTCTAAAGACCAAAATAACTGATTAGGCGTATGATTCATTCAGCTATCCTCATAAGTACATCATCAATGATAAGTCTGTTAGAAACGGTTTAGTATACTCTCTCAAACTAATTGAACTTTTTGCCCTAATTTATATCTTGCTTTTAGTGTGCAACTCTCATTTTGACAAGTCCGATTGGGTCCTTAGTTTCCACTAAAGTAAAGTCCCAAAAACTGTTACATGTTCTTGTTTTTACAACTTTTGAAGTGGATTCGGGCTGCAGTAGCACTTTAGGCAACAAGAATCTCAGTATATATGTATATTTGCCTATGCAGAGAGATGAAAATCCGACTACCACAATGAACAGTGGATATTGGCCGAGACTGGCCCTAAAATCACTACCTCCCGATCCAATCAGTGTTGGCTTTCACACACGTGTTCTAGATTCCATTCCAGCCATAAACTCATGTTCTCTAGATGGTTAAGAGTTGGATTTCCAAATGTGTATGGTTGCATATCCCCAAGTTTATGCTCTCTATGGTTGCGTGACACCTGTTACTCAAAAGGTCGTCTTAGGTTTCCCTAAGATTGGTTCGTACTATAACCCTTAAGTTAATGGTGTCAATGTAGAGCAGAAAGTTTAGAAACGAGCTGTTTGATGAAATTAGTGTTTAGAAACTGATGGCTAAACGTCTCTCTCCATTTGCCTGATAACAGTTTCATTAGTTGGCTTTGACTGAGACTAGTAAGGAATTCAGTCGCAGTTGGTTAGCCCGATTAAGGAACGGTGGTAATCATCGAAGTTTACCATTTGTGTTCTAAGTCGTGTCAAAATTTATGTTGTTAATGTTGAGTTTTCAATGCACTATGACTAACCCTGATACACCGATTTATTCATAATCGGTTGTCGGTGGTACACTCTCATCTGTGTCCCACGTACGAACTCAGAACCAGGGCTCTTTCCAACATTACTATGATGTGATGTTCTCTCGGTTCGATTGCGAAGCTTCCACTAAACCATTTAGTTCTGAGAATAAAGCACCATATTGAGCTGCAGGTCTTTGTTATATTACTATAATGTTTTCCAGGCGCATCAGTAGGAAGTGGATCGAGCACTCAATGCTTATCTTGACGAAAAGGATGATGGGGAAATGAGGTGTAGTGCAGTGATTAATGTTTGTTTCTACTGACCTACGATGTTGAAGTTCAGTCTATCTCCTATTGTAACCGGCCTCAAGCGGTTACCACTTGGGCACTGCGGTCACGCTCTCGGGTCACTAAGACCAACTCTAACCCAATTTCCTTTTCAGGTACCTCTAGAAGGACCTCTCCACGGTGTGGACAACCGGGAAGTTATAACTGCCCTCAAACCTCTAACAGCACTTAAGACCATTGGATTCATAATCAACTTCCCTCTTCGGTTCCTACTATTCCCCCTACCTTGACTACTAACTCCAAACTTCTTTCTTCGAATTCCTCCTCAAGTGTTACCATGGTCAACAACTCTAGTGCGTGAAACACTGTCCCAGATTTACTGAAACCTCGCTCCAAACTACACATTGGAGCCTTCAACGTATGTCAAGTCAACCAGCAGGCCTCCTTGGCTAAGACCCTAAAGCCTCGCACCGTTGGTGTATGCTGTCTCCAAAACATACGGGATCCTGGTGGCTAATATTTTAGCTGAGATTTGTGAACTGAATGTCGTCCCATATGACTGGTCTCAATCACTGATCGTCCCAATGTATCAAAATCATCCTGTGATAACCATGGAGGTATTAGTTTGACCAACATAGCATCTAAAATACTAGCCTCAATAATTATCGGGCGCCTAATTAAGACTCGTGAACTGCAAATATGAGAACACCAGACTGGCTTCAGACCTTATCGTGACTGCATCGACCACATATTCACCATTCGTCAGGCTCTAAGACACAGTCATGCTTATCGGCGTCCGACAATGGTGGTCTTTCTTGACATAAAAGCAGCATTTGACTCTGTAGACCGAGAGGTTCTGTGGTAGTGTCTGTCATTGAAAGGTGTACCTCAGAAGTACATAAACTTTGTGAAGGCTATTTACTCGAACACTACTAGTCGAAATGTCATCTGGTTTTCCGACCTCAATCGGTGTACGAGAAGGCTGTCCACTATCTCCATTTTTGTTTAATTCCGCCATAGACCTACTGATGGAAATAACGTTCTCATTGTCAGAATTTTGGGTAATTGATCTACCAGGAGGTCCGCTTATCGACTTAGAATATGCAGATGACATAGTTCTGTTTGGTGAAGACGCTGATAAAATGCAGAGTCTTTCGGTAGCACTGAGTGGCAATGCCAGGATGTTTGGGATGCGTTTCTTCAACTGTAAATGCAAGTTGTTGCTTCAGGACTGGCCTGTGTCAACACTTGAACTAAGGATGTGGAGTGGAGTAGTCGAGGGTGTCGAAAAATTCACTTTTCTTGGTTGTCTAATCAGCCCTAACAGGTTAATATCTGACGACATCTCTGCATGTATCCAGAAAGCTCGTCTGGCTTTCGCCAAGTTGGGTTAGGAGCTAATGCTTTCTCCCTGTACCGTATTCTTATACACAATCTTTGTATATATATATATATATATATATATATATATATATATATATATATATATATATATATATATATATATATATATATATATATATAGCCATTGAAGTAACATCTATGAATTCAGTGTTCACCTTGTTGTGTTGATGACGTGTGGCAACTTGGACCGATGCATTTACCTGCCTGTTTCTACGTTTTTGATGACAGATTAACTGATATTTCGTAGTCATAGTCTCCCTTACCCTTCTATGCTTCATGAGTTTCACTCCTACAGCTCCCAAGCAATCTGACTATGTCATGTTTTTTTATTCCGAGTACTTTCGAAAATGTTTCAGGAGAGCAATACGCTTCCTAATGTTACGTGGAATTATTAGTATCATTATGAAGAAGCCAAATGACGAGTTATTATTTCGAATGATCATCAAGTGGTGTCTATTATTTTTTTATTGGGTTTTATAGATTGCCTTCTTATACTGCAGTTAGTCAATCAGTAACAACGTAGAACTTTGTACGTACGTAAATCAGTTCGAGTTGCCATACCACATTAGTTGTTAATTCAAATCATATAGTGGTAGAGGTAATAAGAGTATAAATAGTAATCGGAAACATTAGGGTTTAAAAATGTTATTCGAGGAGTATAATCCAGTGAGAGAAGGAGAGAGACAAGGAGAATTCAGGAGATTAGAACTTGGGGAGTCGATGCACCTGCCCCATGGCAAACAATTTTGAGCCATATAATTAAGGGTCTCTATCATCTATCATCTCGCGGATCCCAACCAGGTAGTTTACACCTACCAACATGACTCAGTCCACTTGTCAGTGACTTCATGGAATTGTGACATGTTTTGATATGGCCGCCCCTAGCTGTCTTCCAGCCTACTCCTACGCCACTGAACATCGCACGTCGAGGCAGTCGGTGGTTGGGCATACGTAACAAGTGTCCCAGCCATCTCAACTGATGGAGTTTCGCTACCTCATCAATGGATATGCCATCCTTACCTAGTACCCGTCTCCTAACAACTACGTTACTTACTCGACGGTCCCAGGATATACGAGCAATGCTTCGAAGACATCTACGATCGAATACTAGTAACCTAAGAATATCCTCTACTCCTACCGGTCATGTTTCACTGCCATAAAGTACGACGGAACGAACTGCTGCGCAGTAAACACGTCCTTTGGTTGATAGACGGATATCTCGCCTACGCCATAAATGATGCAAGTTGGCAAGAGCTAGTCGAGCCCTCTGTATCCGTGCTGAGATTTCGTCACACACCAAACCACAAGGGCTGATGAAACTTCCAAGATAAGTGAAGCGGTCGATACACCCAACTACTTCACTCTCCATTATTAGTTCGGGTGTCAATGCAACCCAATCCTGAAGCAACATTTTGCATTTCGAGGGGGAGAATCGTATCCCGAACATGCTTGCATTGTTGCTTAGAGTGGTCAGAAGACTGCATTTTGTCAGCGTCTTCACCAAATAAAACTATGTCATCAGCATATTCTAAGTCAACAAGTGAATCTCGCGGTAGAAGTTCAACCCCTGGAAATTTCGATGAGGAATGTGTCATCTCTAAAAGCACGTCAACGACAAAGTTAAAAAAGAATGGAGAGAGTGGACAGCCCTGACGAACACCACTTGAGGTTATCAATTCTGATGACAGTTCGCCATAAGCTCTCACTCTACCAGTTGTGCTCGAGTAGAGAACCTTTATAAGGTTAATGTAATTCTTAGGTACTCCTTTCAGTGACAAACTCTGCCATAGAACCTCACGATCAAAAGAGTCGAATGCTGCATTAAGGTCAAGAAATACTACCATTGTGAGGCGTCTGAATATGTGTCTATGTTCTAGGACCTGATGAAGTGTGAATATCTGGTCTATTAAACCATGTTCAGGTCGAAAACCAGCCTGGTTTTCTCTAATCTGCTCTTCACGAGCTTTAGTTAGGCGTCGAATAATTATTGAAGCTAATATTTTAGACAATATATCAGTCAAAGTGATTCCTCTGTGATTGTCACAAGAGGACTTTCGGCCTTTTTTATAGACTAGCACAATCTCAGAGGTAAACTTGTCAGAGCCTGCTGCTCTCCCTCGTTTCAGATTTTCTATAGCTTTTTCAACTTCGTAAAGAGGTGGAGTACTTACATTAACTTGCCATTCAAGTCGACTGGAGATCGTGCGAAACCGACGTGTGGCTGGAGGCCAGTCGAACTGATCCCTCAAGTGTTCTGCCTATCGATCCAATCTTCTGGATTGAAAATTTATAATATTTCCATCTTTTTCTGAGATAGTTTCGCTAACAGTCGGTTTCCTAATACCGGTTTCCTTAACAAGTCTGAACAGTTGCCTGACGTTAACTATTGCCACTGCCTTTTCCACCTCTCGTGCTTTCGCTACCCACCACTTCGTGATCATTGCACAGGCGTCTTGTCACTTTGCGCTTAAGCTGACTCCGCTCTTCGTCATGTTCAGATCCAGATGGAGTGAGCTTTCCAGCATCTATCAGTGCGATAGATGCTGCTGAGATCCAGTGTTTCACCTTACCCTTATGGTTTACCTTACTAGCAGATAGCACTGCTGTTAACACAGCTTTTGGGATGTAATTTCACCTATAGGGCTGCCTAACTGTTTTTCCAGTTGTTCCTGAAGTGTACTCTTAGCTTGACTGTCATTAAGTAGGACCCCAAGAGGTTCGCTTGCAGCGTATTTCCTACGTCCAGTAAAACGCAGACAGATACGCGCTCGTACTAGAGCATGATCTGAATCTAGGCATGTGCTCCAGAATGAGCGACAGTCTTCTATGGAGCCCCTCCATCGGTGGCTGATAGCGATGTGATCTATTTGGGTCCAACGTTGGGACGAATTAGGGGGTCGCCATGTTAAAAGATGTTTTTTCTTATGCTTAAAGTTAGTATTTGCAAGGAACAGGTGGTTATCTGAGCATAGCTGCAACAGACGGTCGCCACTATCTGTTCTTTGAGCCACGATGCTATAAGATCCACCTAGGTGTCTTTCCCTATCGTTTAGTTTACCTACTTGAGCATTAAAGTCACCGACCACTATTACTACATCCGAGCGCCGAGCTTTTCAGAGGAGGTCGGAGAGCTTTCTGTAAAACTCATCTTTCACATCATCTGCGTGCAGTCAGTGGGAGAATAGGCAGAGACAACGAAGAGGCAACGACGAGTGTCTCTATCTTTTTGGATCCTTACTGTTCCGTTCAGTCGGACAGCGCACAAACGACTGTTTACTGGGATCCACTCTAAGAGAGCTAGTTCTGCCCTAGGACTCAATGCTATACCTACGCCGGCCAATCCACGAGAAGCGGCATCAGGGCTTCCAGATACACGAAGTGTGAATCGAGTTGGTTCTTTGTTTTGACATAATGATGTCGAATGAATGAAGCTACTCGGATCCTGTATGCGCGTTTCGGAGACGCAGTACGCATCGATGGCGCGAGATTCTAAAGTCCTAGCTAAGGAAGCCAGTTGTCCTATTTGGCATAGTGTTCGGATGTTAAAAGCTCCTACATGTATTTTAGAGCGTGGTTTCAGGAGACCCGGAATAAAGTTCCGCGTACGCGGAACATCTGCCCTAGCGGTGCGAGGTGATAAAGGGACGTGAGAAGGATTAGTCGGGGAGATAAGAGTGGTATTAAGAGGTGTAGGGAGGATTTGAATGTGACCAACTTGGTCTCGTGTGCTGTTACGGATATGAGGGCTGATATCACTTCCCGGCTGTCCACATCGCGGAAGGGTATTTCTTGAGGAACGTGAGTAGGAATTCGGATTGATGTCGACCTTAACGCCTTGAGAGCGTGACCGCAGAGCCCAGGGGATTAGTGCTTGAGGCCGGCCACGCACGGCCTTTTTGTGGGAGGTTTTTGTCGTGTTAGCTCCGTTCTTCAAAGGGCCTTACCGCCGGAGACGGAAATCCGTGAGGTAAGGTGAGGTGCGGCATTTTTAGGGTCGACCTTTTCTAACCCTACCTCTCCTTGTGGGAAGGCAGAATCGCTGCAGATGCTGGTTGTCCAAGGGAAACACCTTACTGCTGTCACACCCCTCTACAGTCAGCAATACGACTACGCCCTCAGACCTTGAGTTGCTGCTTTTAGTCTTACCGTTCTCCAATCATCTTTCCTGGCATGGTAGAACCTACAGGAACATATGTTCCAGCCAATATAGCTCGGTTGGGTCATCACGATAGGCAAGCCCGACCACCGCGTTAAGGTAGCAGCTACGGTCGGGTTATACTGCAAAAGCAGCTAAATGCATTTCCGAGTTAGGTTTCCTCATATGCAGTACGAGGTCGGTATCTGCAGTGATGTTGATCTAAACAAAAATGGGTGGCGTTCCTAAGCACAAGAACTGTGAAATATATATTTGACATCACAGTCATCCTCTCCTTGTAGTCATGAAGTGCATAAGATGTGGTTTCAGCTACTGAAAGCAAAGTGAGTCAGATCTACGCTTTAGTTTATGCACTTTCTTGACTCCACTCTCTAAACTCGTTCTGGTGTATAGCGTAGTAATCTAGTCTTCTTATTTTAAGCTTCATCAAAACCAGCGAAGATGGATAAACTAGGTGTATCAGAAACGACTATCGATGAAATATTATTCCTATTTTTCTCACACTGAAAAAGTACCCACCTATGTCAACACTTTTCTTGAGCTATAGTGCTTCGCAATTTATCCAGTCAAATCCTAGCGAGAAATTTGGATTTATATGCAAAAAACGGTTTTCATTGGACTGATTGTAATTGGCTGTTGCTGAAATCCAGAGTTTAGTATTTAAGAATCTACCTTGTGCAATATGCTTTCTTGCTAAGTAGTCAAAAGTAGATGCCCAATGTCCTTGGACCTAGGTCTCTTGTAGAGTCAGTTAGACCATTAATGACAGTGCAACTCCAGTGACAGAACCTGGTTTGTAATAAAAACAAGCACGGTAATGGTAAACACACAATTGATGTCAGGCTTTCAGATTGTGAATTTTAACAGGCACTTCACCTCACCTACATGGCCGAAAAACTAAACATCGCTTTCTTGATTCTAATTGTCTGTGGTGTATATTTACACTGATACCATCCAATATTCACACATTCTAAGCGATCTTAAGTTTTCTGAAATCTTTCGCTTGTGAGGTAAATATTATAATTATGATAAAAGAATTTAAGAAGTAAAGTAATGATGGGACATTTATGAGTTGGATCTGAGGGTAGTATATTTTCTGATATGTACAAATTTACAAAAAAAAGCCATAGGCAGTTCATAAGATGAATACAGTCAAAAAATATATTATAAATATCAAAATTTATAATACATACTATGAAAGTAATATCTAATTTAACTGATTTCACTTAGTGAATAAATTGTTTTACCAATGAAAATGACAAATTAATATGAAGAGAATCTGGAGAGGAAACACATATCATCACGTAATTTAGTCATTCTCGATCAATTCCAAGTCCAGATCCGTGAAAGACAATGTTTGTTTGCTGTTATTTGATTTTTTTTGTAGAATGTCTGAAGAGATACGTTGACGATTAGGTGTTTGTGGAGAAAGAATACTTTTCATGTCATCTGATTCTCTATCAGAGTTTGAACTCGTTGATGGTGTAAAAAGTAACACTTGTCTACCAGTACTATCATCTTGTAAAGTTGTATCAACTGATTCGTTTAACAACACATCTGGATGATTGTATGCCGGTATTCTACAACTATCACTACTTCTATCATCTGAATTATCCCATTCAATATTTGTTGATGAATGAATTGGGGTAAATGCAATTTCATGAATTGATGGCGATGACAGTGAAATTATAGGATGATGATAATTTGTCTCAGATATTCTACCATTATTACTATTATTTTCATCAATCATTGTTTCAGGTGTTTCATGTTCCTTTTCATCTTCAGTCATTTCATAAAGTTTTCCTAATTCATTGTGCATGTAACGATGTATAAAGTTTTCTTCAGAAAAAACACTAGAACAATGTTCATATTCCTGTCCACAGTTGATATTATAAGCCTAAACAAAATTATAAAATGAACATTTTCGATTATATATATACTGAAGGTGAGTTATGGACTTAGATAGAGAAACGATCAATAACATTTTACTTGGACGCTTATCATATTTAGTTAATCCTATCTTAAATTCTCTGCTTTAATTCAATTACTACTAATGAATTAAATATATGATTTCCACGGTATCATCAATAAATGTCTGGACTGAGGTCATAAAAATTTTATTTGAAAACTAGAATGATTCAATCACCATGGTGGAAGATCACTCTCACTATATTCATCAGAATGCAAAGTGATTATGCGAAGAGCAGATCTGGGACGATAGTGGATAAAACAATGAGGCAGTTGGAGAACCCGAATTTTAGGGATGTTATGAATAAACAAAATAGAGAGTGGACGAATGTAGGGCTATGAATACAGGTCAATTTCTCTAAAATAAAGTTTGGATATCTAACTGACAGGTTATCAGAGACGAGATGAGTCCCTTGAAATCCGAAAGCATCAATTAATATATCTTCTTCATTTATCAAAACATTACACACTTATAATGTGTAAAATACATTCTACATACTAATAAAATCTGATTTTTGAAATACCAAACAGGTGTTTCATCCTAACTTGGGACTCTTCGACAGTATGCATTCACGAAGTAAATCACTAGTGAGCAAATGTCTATTGTTTTCTAGAAGAGTTTATAGAGATTAGTTTCATGTATATGTGGTATTCACTATGGCTTGACACTAGTTACTGAAATCGAAAAAAACTACCACTAGTACTATAATACTAGTAATAGTTTTCATAGTAAGGAAATGATTTTAAACATTCTCATTTTTCAGAAAAGAACAAACAAAACGAGACGTAATATATAGAACTTACATTGTATTTATTTTTATCCGCATATGACGTTATGTAGCATGGATTTCCTACAGAGCTGGCGACGGAACATGAATTATCGTCTAAAGTTTCAGTAATTTTACCATTTTCATTATTATCTGTCATCAATGTAGTATTTTTCAAATTAGACTGTGCACAGTGCTTTATTGATGATGCAGTAGAAGACAAACAGTGATAATACTCATCATTTACATCAGATTCAATTAAAGTGGCATTATCTTGATATTTATTTGCATCAAACATGGACAAACATTTCGAGGCGGCAAAAGAAGAAGAACAAGAATACGAAGGAATCATTGATGATTGTTGATCAGTGGACGGAAATATTGAATGCCGCTGTACATCATGACACGGAAAAGCATACTGATGATGTTGATGATAGTGATGCCGATGGTGACAGTCTAAGTTATCATCTAATCTACTATTTGATAAAATTGTAGATATATAATTTAGATGTTCAATGTCAGACAATGATTGACCATCATAATTGTTTTTTAATTGGTCTATTGTTCTTTTAAACATACAACAATTACAAGGTGGTAATTCCTCATGTGGCAATAATTGCTTCCTCTCCTCCTCATGAATGTGATGATGATAATTATTGGATTCATTGTGAAAATCAGTATCCCTATAATATTGATTACTACATTCACCACTTGGTCCACGTCTACGTTTTAATCCAGCTGCTGTGTTAGCGATGGTGATATTACTGGAAGTTGTTGTTGATGTCTTCGTCGTCATCATCATTGCAGTCGTAGAAATAGTAGTGAAAAATGTAGACGTGTTAGTATTAGTAGTGGTAGTAGTAGGTGATTGATGTATATGCTTCCCGGTTCTAGAGCAATGAGGTGAATGTCGATAATTAATATCATAAATTGTATCATCATTAGGCTGTGAACAACATCGAAGCATACATTTCACTGATGGTAAAGAATAACTACAACAATAACTACTACTATCACTATTACTGCTACTGCTACTACTAACATTTCTACTCTGATGATTATCATTAATATTAGGCTCACTATCTTCTAATTTAAAGCATGGTTCTAAATCTGTCAGTTTACTTGACATATCACCAGATTGATTTAGTGACTTAATATCGATTGATGTGTTTGTTTGATTTCGTCTATGATGGTGATGATAATGTTGACGACGTTGATGACAATCACAATTGCAATGATGATTAGAACTTGGCCCAGAATCTGAAGATACACCAAACTATAATAAAGACAGAATAAAAGAGAACAGTGAAACATTTATGAACATCTTTAATAGGCGTTAAAACTTGAAAATAAACCATTCTCTTTACTCTGTCTTTTTTAAGACTAAACTGAAAAGTTGATTGAAATTCAATCCTGAATATTAACAATGAAATAATGTAAACTCTTATTGATAATTAATATCAACATAATACTTGTTGAAAAGGTTAGTGTCTATTTTGACTTGATAGTTCAATGAACAATGCTTTGGTATTTGAAATAAAAGGTAATAACTCAAGTTTTAATATGAATATCAACTAACAATTCTCAAATAAAATGAAAAGCTCTTCTTACATTCTATTGCTAACCACAATCCATCTAATCTACTCAACGCAAGATTTCTAATTGTAACCATAAACAAGTAATAATTCACATAAAATAGATAACTAAATTTTACAAAGTATATTAGTTCCTTGATTTGTGAAACGTCGGTACATCTGGTTGTTAATAGCAGTGATGATATATTTATAAATGTTTAGTTTCTAAATACTGATCAATGGAATTTATCTCAATATTATAAAGACAATTTGTTGAGCAAAAGTGTAGTTTTAACATTAAGAGTAGTTGGTTATTTGCATATATGCAGAGTTGATTCACACGAAGGCAAATATCTAAATTTATTTAGGATAGGGATATCTTCTCTGAAACTTACCAAAACAAAAAAATCTCACATATAATATCAATGAAACATTTTAATAAATCCATTACATCTTATACCCTCAAAATCCCAAAAATACATTGTGTATATATATACCATGAAAATACATAGTGAATTTATATAGATAAAAAGTAACATAAAATTATGGTGTATACAATGTAATACATTTAAAACTATTGAAATATAACAGATATTGTATAGGCTGTTTAATGTTTAGATTAAACATTAGAACTCTGTATGTTTTTTCATACAAGACTATATGAAACCTCTTGTTGAGATTAAAAGTAAGATTTTTAAAGATTCAGTGTGACAAAACTGAATATTTAGTGAACCACAGTTAGAATATATATTCTTTCTCAAAAAGGCCTGTTAAAATATTCTTCAATTATATAGTAAAGAATTTCTTATTGGCTTTATTATCATAATTATCAATAATTTATTGGCAACCCTAATAAGTCAATCAGTCAGTCAGTCACAAAATAGGACCAGGCACATAAATGTATCGGTCCAAGTTGCCATACTGCATTAGCACAACAAGATGAACACCGGATTCATAGAAGTGGTTAATTCAATGGTGGTAATATATGAAAGATTGCATATAAGGATATAGTACAGAAAGAAAGAATAAGTTTGTAGAAAGAAAGATATGAAACAATTTCAATCTCATAGTTTAAGGAAAGACAAGGAGTGTACACACCTACACTATTGTGATCTAGTCTGAACTATGTCACCCACAGACTCCAACCATTGAATACGACAGTCATGCGAACCCCAACCAAGTAGTCTGCACCTGCCAACATGGCCAAGACTAGGAGTTAGTGACTTCAAGCACTGATGCCACGTTCTGGTTTGGCCGCCCCTAACTTTCTTCCAACCATCTCCAACACTAGTCAGCATTGCGCGTCGTGGTAATCGGTGTTCAGTCATACGTAAGAAGTGGCCCGACAATCTCAGTCGATGAAGGTTCACATCTTCATCAACTGATTTATCATCATTCCCTAATACCCTGCGTCTAACCCCACTATTAATTACCCGGTGATCCCCAGAGGATGCGAGCAATATTTCTAAGACATCCATGGTCAAATACTGGTAGCTTACGAGTATCTTCAACTCTTAATGGCCACGTTTCGCAGCCGTTAAGTAGAACAGAACGAACTGCCGAGAAGTAAACTTGTCCTTTTATTGATAAAAGGATATCTCGCCTTCGCCATAGGTGACATCACATTATTTCTTCGGATTTATTATATTATATTCGTACAAATAAATGGCTATTGTTTCGATGAGTCTTTCGTTATATACATTTAATGCTGTTATTTCTTATTGCCTTATTTTGTATATTCCAATCTTTGACTTATCATTATTGCTGTTACTATTATTCCTCTGTATCATGTCACTTGATAATTCGATAACACTCTTAACTAAGTCTACTTTCGTGGGTGAAAATTTTGTACCTTTACCAGTTTTTAACCGCAGAAATGTTTAATTGTGGTTTTCACGGTTGGAAAACCTTTTTGTTGCTTACGAAATTACATGTCAGGGCACAAATTTTAGTTATGCAAACTCGTTGTTCCCAGATAACTTTGTAGAACAAGTGACTGATGCCATTTTCAAACCAGATCCAGAAACACCATATAATATTTTAAAAAGAGAGGCAATTCGCGACGCATCTCTGACTGATCAGCGGGCAATGAACCTACTTTTAGATAATGTACAGTTAGATGATAGCACACTATAAGAGTTAAAAGACCAGATAATAAATAAATTGAGTAATCATCTTGTGGATAAATGCTTGTTATATCAGTTATGGCTTAGACGTCTTTCTCAGAACATTCAACAAATATTAGAGATTAAAGATGTCAATTTTGATAGACCATCAAACATACCAGATAAAATATAAGAACTAAGAGATACTCTGAATCACATATACACACAAACTCAACTGACGAAATCACTGAGTTGCGACAACAGTCAACGTTCTCATCAATCAGTTAGCTTCGCTTTGCTTTCACAATATGCCCCACTGCAAGTGTAGACGAAGACCTAGAAGCCGTACATGTCGTAGTCCAAGCACTGGCCGATACAACATATGGTGGTAACAAAATTTACGCCAATTAAGCGAAGTGTACCTTGACCTGTAAATTTGCGAACGCACGACAGGTAAACGTCAAGACCGACGATGAGCAACAAGTACGGTTGCCGGCCCCAATTCCTAAGGTAGTCGTTTGTGTTAAACTTTACAGATAAGAAGACTGAAACATAGTTCTTAGTCAACACTGGGACAGTGGTTAGTGTAGTACCATCTACTAAACCTGTGAAAAAACATACCTGACCCTAAACTAAAACTGCATGCTCCATTCAGACCAGAGACCAAGACATATGGTAAAAGGTAGCTAGCTTCATCGTAGCTGACGTCATAGTTCCCATAATTGGTGTTGATTTTTTGCATTCCCACAAAATACAAATAAGTTCTTGTGGTCAAACATAAATAAAGATTTACGAAAATGGGCACGAGAATGCATCAAATGTCAGAAGTCGAAAGTTTGTAGACAAATGATATCTTCTACAAGAGTTTTTCGTACCGCTAGCGCTAGATTCAATCACATTCATATCAACATCGTTGGACTATAACCAATTTCTAATGGCTATACGAATTTACCAACAGGTACAGACAGATTCACGAGATGGCCCACAGCTGTCCCGCTAAAAGACACGACAGCATCAACTGTAGCGAAGAAATTGGTAAAACACTGGATTATAAACTTTAGTGTCCCAACAAAAATTACGACCGACCGCTGAGCCCAGTTTGGAAGCAAGCTGTTCCAGCAACTTACAGACAATTTCGGTGTAAAAAGGATTAGGACCACAGCTTATCGTACGGCTGCTAACGGGATGATCGAAAGGTTTCATCGACAGCTAAAAAACCCATTGACAGCCACTGGGGGAGATTTCAAATGGGATGCCAAGCTTCCTTTAGTATCATCAGCCATCCTCTCAGCTACCAAACAAGACATCGGCTTTTGTGCTGCTGAGTTGGTTTATGAGACAACGTTACGTTTTTCTGGTGAAATTTTTGACTGTGCAACAGATATTCCAGCAAACATAACCAACTACGCACAGCAATTTAAACAGCAGATGAAATCCATTAGAACCATCGGACCACTAACCTGGAAAGCAAGATCACTCGTATCCATTGAATCAGACAAATGTTCACATATATTCGTCAGAAATGATAAAGTACAACAGCCGTCAAAGACTTCTTACAACGGTCTTTTCAAAATCAACAGGGAAGACAGCAAAACATTCACGATAAAAACAGCAGACAAACATGACACTTTTAGCGTCGATAGAGTGAAACCAGAGTTTTAGAGAGCACTAAAAAATAGACAACGATGAAATCGTCTAAATTTACAGCCGAGCAACCACCAAACAAACTATCTGCAATAAACAGTACTCTACGACAAAGTTCAGCAACAGCAGAAACAAGAACAAGATCAGGAAAAAGAGTACATCGGCCAGATAGGTATGTGGCAACCATCATATTTATCTAGACAAATTCTGGGATTATTCGTATAACTTTTCTGCACAAGAAGTCTAGTTTTGCATTATATATATTCTTACTATATAACTGCTAAGTAACCATCATATGTATATCCATAATCCTCTTATTATACGCTTCCATTTGACCTATTGACCACTACTATACGATTTACTATTATTAGGTTATTCACAATCTATTAGTTACAGTCTCTCACACTCACAACCACTTTTTGGCGTGATCTTGTAAAATTGTTATTTTCTACTTTATAGTATGATGTGATCTGGTTTGCTTGTATGTAGGCCAAGTATATCTGAAATATATGATTCCTATAGTGGAAGTTGAGATTGTGTTCTGGATACAAACAGAGCTAGGCGAGAAGAACCAATAAGGACTTAGAACTGACTTTAGGTTGCTCGTACTGGCTAACGCGTCACTGGTTTGGTACAGTGCCAAGGTTATATAAGTCGGTGTTCTAATTAATGATTTTTGTCACGTGATAATTGACAGGGTAGAAGTATATATATATATATATATATATATATATATATATATATATATATATATAATTTCAATGCATAATCTGTCATTTCAATTTAACGCTTACTTATCACGCTGGGTCGTATATTTCTTTTAAAAACAAGTTTCTCTGTTATCTTTTTGATGAACAAAGATGTGTCATAAAAGCATCAATGTTCTGAACGGGAGTAAGCCCATTATATCACGTATTTGCTGTAATTTGGAATGTTAATGTAAAAGTATGTGTGAGTCTGATTGAACGAATTTTCGCAGCTCAGTCCTATAGAAGATAAATAGCGGTACGAAATACTTAGTGGAGCAGCCGCAGACTGTAATGAGCGCCAAATATCGGGAAATCCATAATTTACTCGACAGCACTAGCTACTTAAATAAATCTCAGTAGTTAAATAAGGTTAAGTTCAGTACTTTTAAAGGTCCATTGTGTATTAGTACACATAAACGATGATTAAAGGAGTTAACAGAATTGTGGTAAAAATTAAAGTGACAGATGAAAATAGATGGGGAAAACTCGTTTATAAACAATTATAAAAACAGTTGCTGAACTATTTCCCTAAATGCAGATAAAAATTAATATTCTTGAATAAATTCAAGCTTAAAAACATGAAATTTCGAAATATAAGTAGTTCGTATTAAAATTTAGGGAACAGAAATTATGAGTCAATATAAACAAAAAAACAAATTGCAACAAATGAAAATGGCCTTATCTATTCCATTTAAATCACTTACTCTCGAACAATCTGGTAAACTAGATGCTTCAGACAAGCCGAAAAATGAAGCTTCATAAAATCCAGATGAAGGAGTCCGAGTAGTTATTTGAATTGACGAAGATATTGACTCAGTAGTAGGAGAAAGTGAAAATTCGGAAAAGTTAACATCCATTGGGAAACTACCAAATGATGCCCTGGTTGGTGTGAATGCTGATGAAGGACTAGAGAGAAAAACAAGTAGAATGAAAGAATATTGAAAATTAGTTTGACATGACTAATTATAAGTTGAATTGATTTACATTTATGGCAGTTTACAATTAAATGTGAACGACTGAATTATGCAACACTACTTAAATATGGCTAACTTTTTGTTAAAAGCTATTTATGAAAGCAGAAAACTGTATGCAACAAAGAGGTTTTTTTAAATCTATGAACATAAAATCCAGTCATCTCCAAAGAATACCAATTAACTAATGCACAGTTGTGTCATACTTTATGCGGTTACTTCTATTTCTTTATACAACTTTCAACCTCTAAATTTCTTCATAGCACACTCAACTATTTTAATCTGCTTAGTAACATCTCAGTCAGAGTTAGGTAACATAGAGCCAGGAGCACTTGTGTATCGTCTCAAGTCGTCACATCCCAGGAGTATAGTTACATCAAATTACCAAGATGAATATTGAAGTAGTATCAGTGATGATAGAATACATTAGGGATAAACAATATAATACGAGAAGTAAGAAAGAATTTGCAAAATCAAAAGTACAATATGATTTTTAAATGAAAATCAAGACCTAAGAGAAGATAACAAGTGAATGCACCTGGGTCATTTCAATCGACTCTGAGCCATGTCACATAACGCATACAGCCATTGATCATGATAATAGCGAGAACCCTAATTGGTAGTTTGCAATTACCAATATGGCTCAGTTCAACAGTCAGTGACTTTAAGGACTGATGCCACATGCTTGAATGGTCACTATTGGCTTTCTTCTAACAGGAAAATAGTGCATCGAAATAAGTGGTCATCAGACCTACGTAACATATGCCCTAACGACCTCACTTGATCGGTATGAGTAGACTAATTGTGAGTGATTGTTATACAGCTGAAGTTTGATAGAAGGATAATACAAATGCTTAGTGTAAAATCCCTCTATAACTGTATGTTAATCGGTTTCTTGGGATTTATAATTCCTTAAGATGTCACATAAAGTAACCTAGAAAAACAAAGTAACTGACACAATCCAAAGAATTTATATCAGTAGTCTAACTAATTATAAATCAAGAACTGTTTAGCACAAATAATATTTCTCATGATTATCATAACATTCACACTGTGAACTGTAGCAACAACATATTCAGCAAGAATAATGTAGATTTATTAAATGATACAATTCTGATCACTGAGAATTTATAACATTTGAACAATAATCTATCACTTGTTTGTACGGAAAAGCATATAATTCTATGTGACTATAAATGAGATATGAGATTGTTGTTCGAAAAATAAAAGCTGAATAATCGTCAAATAACTGAAGATTAACAGGTGACAATTGAATATTGAATACGTATAACATTCATTCATTATATGTGAAAATTATATTTGAAACAATCTCAGTGATTGAAATTTAAATAATTCCAACGTCTCGTCTAGCTAACTTGTCTGGACTTCTTCAGGGTTAGCACGAGCAGACTTCGTGAGAAGCTAGTCAGACGAGCAGTCACACACCCGCTTCACTCTCAGGACCAGGCTGCACTGATTATCATAGCGGTTGGTTGGCCAGGGTCAAGTTTGTTTGACGTCTTGGTGATACGTAATACAGGACTGATCTCTAGAAGTACGATCTGGACGAAACATTGGAATTATTTAAATTTCAGTCACTGAGATTATTTCAAATACAATTTTCACATATAATGACCTCTCTATACTCGGCGCCCAAACTATTCATTCTAATCTTGACGAATATTCGTATAAATATAACATTAATTGACTTAAAATGTACCCATTTATCTAAGGGTTTGTTTAATTTATAAAGATATAAACTATTTTGTGTACGTCGATCTTACAAGTGTTAGAAAATGAAGCAAACAAAAATACTAATTGAATATATTTTCTCATTCATGCTATCAATTGATCACTAATTTATAATTAGTAATAGTAATCGAAACACGTTTACAACAATATTCACTCATAGTGGATACTATAGACTAGTGACTAGACTAGTAATTTATTATATTGTATACCAATAGAATATGTGGACACACATACACACAAAATGAATAAACAGATACACAAAAACGTAGAAATACCTTTCACCTATAATTTATATATATGGAATGCTTTCTAAACATTATTTCTGGATTTTATATGCTCGTGTATTTTTCTCTCTTTTATAACATGATTAAACACACGCACACATTTGGCAACCAGCCAACATTTTTGTATATCCAAATTACTAAAAAAGGGGTATAACAAGAATGACGGCCTAAGCCAAAGCTATTTTTCTCTCCCTCTACTTGCATGTCTGGTAGCCAGGTTAAAGTTAGTCGGGATTTTCGGTCAATAGGAGAGATTAGCCAAAAAATAATCAATAATACGCCAAGCATAATAGGCTAGAGAAACTTAGATGAAGAAAGGAAACACTGGTAGTTATTTTAACCAATTAAAATGCGATCGAAAGCAAATGTTCTATTCCTTACGTGTTGACAATAAATATCATTGCTCAGTAAGGACTGACTTCAGTGAAAATAATTCCATACATATATTGTACACCATCGGATCCCAGCATATTAGTCTATAGTTAGGGGGTTCGCACACGAGACCGGTCCTCGGTTTGATTCTGGAGTGAGTATTCCAGAGGAGTCCTGTACTAAGACGAAACAGCCGTCCAGAGTTTTCAGTTGTTGTTTAACTTAGATCCGTTTGCAGTTTAAATAAAATTTAACAATCTCCACAATCTCATACTAATAATTATCGAGCTCTATTTGATAATTCATTCAATAGAGTTATATAATGAAGTACGGTGGCAGGCAGGGACTGCAAAATGTCAGCACTTTATACATTATTCGATCCAAAAAATGCAATTTCATACAACTGGTGAAAACGGGTTGCTTTAGATTGAAAACCTTACACTCGATTACACTATTATTTATATTCATATTAAGGATACATGCGACTTTTTCATATTATTCGTCTTACTTCAAAGTGAGTAGTGAAGCAATTAGCACTGTGTTGTACCGAATATTTGATGTAGCATTTGTATCTGTAAACATTGTTCATATCCATCTGTAGCGTTTCTACTTCACTTCTGCACAGGTAATTTATGACGAGTGGGCGGGAATATATAACTCATAGTACAGTCACTTTAATCGATGTAGATTTACAGCCCCATTACCAGACTTACTTCTGTTGACAACACTATTCACTTGGTAGTTCCATAATATGCAAATAATACTCTATAGTTCATGATTCAGAACTATGAAGCAATACAAAGCGAAATGGAGAACACTATACTTGCTCTTTGATAGACAAATATACATCACACCAGAGTAACAGAAAGTGAAAGTTGGTAAAACCTTTTTTAAAATAAGACTTAATAAAAGTAATTGTCTATTTCAAGATTGACAATAATACAAACAATTTTAGTTTAATCATAATAAAAAAACAAATCAATGATCAAGAAGTTACCTTAATTTACAATCAGTTTTATGAGCTTATATATTACTTCACTGTTTTTATCAATATTGCATAAACACCGATTAACAACTGAATAGTATACAATTAGTACACTTTACTTTACAAATGATCACTACACACAACAAAGGTATCATTACAATGGAAAATTTGCAACTCGTTTACCAAGTATAGGGTTTATATACTCGGATTTAAGTTACACCTTTTGTATGATGACTATATATAAAGAACTGGTAGTTTGAATTAAATTAAGTGGATCCGATTTCGAACTTTTGGGATATAGGCGTGTTGAGTGAAAGGACGATTATTAAACACTATGTTTAGTAAATCACAGTATACACCGTTCAATTTCACAGTTTTTGCATGCATCACAATTATAATCATAAAATTATAAAATTAACGTAGATAATTTGATTATTCATGAACAAAACACTACTGAAGGGTAAGTAAAAAAAGTGAATAAGACCTAACCGTTGGGGAGACCCAGAAAATTCATCGAAAAGAACCCAAAGCAGCCCTGAAAACGCTGGGGAACATCCTATCCAATCAGCACTCAATAGAAGTTTCTCAGAAACATCTAGAAAGTGGAGTCGCGTGCCACACTTCTGATAGGATAATTGCCTATCCTGCTACTATGTCTAGAAGGGCTTCAGAACTTTCCAGAAGCCAGTGGCCATTTGAAATGCTATAAATACTCTCAATTTTCTGTATATAAACGAACCTTGAAGTAAAGCGTTCTTTCCATATTTCGGGCCTTTTCTCTCGTGTTCAAGTTGTCGTGTAGATTTGGTCCTGTATTATTAGAAGAGCTCAGGAAACCGATTCAAACGTTCAGTCAGAAGATTTATTACTAACAGAGACCGAATAATGTACACTTAAAAAATGAAGGAAAGTTTGTCCGTTTCTGTAACAGGTTGACTTGAGACAGACAACCATTGAAAATAAAGAAGCATTGAATAACTATTTTCTCCTAGTATGGGACCCCATAGCCGTGTAAACGCAAGGTTAAAGACAGGAGTCTAATCCACGATCTTCAGGCCTCATGACGAGTACATTATTTTTAGACGACTGAGCAACCATCCGATAACTTGCATTTTCTCTGCTCGATCGACGATAAGATTGTGGGTATTTAATGATGGGAAATACCAACCTCGAATGAAACAAATGGTTGGTACTCTCTAGTTTCCAATGATCATCCAGTTAAAATCAATCCGCGATTCAAACCACAAATCGAACACTATCTCTAAAAAGTTTGAGAGACAACTGGAAGTTGATCCTCTTTAAAATCAACATGAATAACTGACTGCAACAAATCAAGAAACTACTGGATTATATAGGTTAGGTTGTTCAACATTAAACCATTAGATTCACCTGGTATTGTTTTGCATGTATCTTCCCATTGAGGTTTAAGACTGCGATTGATCAGTCTGTTATTGGCATACGTGCATACTGTGCGTATGCCTCGATATTGCCTTAATTCACAAGCTTTTATAAGCAAAGATGGATAGTGGCTAGCAGTGGAATCCAGGAAGCGCGTCTCGTTCTGTTTGGGACTTGTCAGCTCGATGTACCTGCATCTCACAGTTGATGTTCACTCTGGAACTCGGACCCAGTACCATTCGCTTCAAACGCCGTCACGTTATCCACTCAGCTACTGAGTCCTGATAACCACTTGCTTGTGCAATGGGGTGAATTTAAATTCACTTGGTATTGTTTTGCTTGTATCTTCTCATTGAAATTTAAGACTGCAATTGGTCAGTCTATTATTGGTATATGCGCATACTGTGTATAGGCCTCGATATTGCCTTAATTCACAAGCTTTTATAGGACGAAACGCGCGTCTTGAATTCCACTGCTAGCCATGATCTATCTTTGCTTTTAAACCATTAGGTTATATTAAAGTCTGTTCAAGAATGTAGACCACTTCACAATGACGCTTTACATATATTATCAAGACTAAACCATGAAAATCCAATTTAATCAGCACCTTATGCACGTAAGAAGATTACAAGACACTATATTTTTCAGTAATGAATAAACACAAGTATAGATTAAGATGGTTAGAAGGTGTAGTGGCTGATGTGTTTTAGGTTGACGTGATCAATTACATACAAAAAAACAACTCAAAAATGTGCGATAAAAAAAATTAAAAATTTCTGGATAGATGTTGCACAGAAATAAATTATACTTAGATTTACGAAAGAACTAACAATACCAAATAATTACATATAGTTGAAAAGTTTGTTTAAATATGAAGACAATAAACTAGATAGGTAAATATTTGTTGTCTTGCCGAAATACAGACGAAATTATTCTATTATTATTATTATTATTATTATTACTGTTTACATAAAATAGATTTTTTTATTGTTTTTATTTGCATACCCTAAATTATTCATTATGACTTATAGAATAAAAATAGTTAAATGATACATAAACAATTATAAACCTGAAAAACTTGAATTTTCAGATGATCATGTTGAATATGGCAAGATGATTTTAATCAGTGGTTTACAAATCATCATTTTAAGGCCTAACCAAATGAACATTAAGACTGAAGTGTTATGTAGGACTTGACCGTATCTAAATTGTGAACAGAAAGTAGTGAAATTGAGAAGTAGTAGAGATCTTCGTACAATATTTCAGTTAATCTAGTACTGGAACGAAGAGATAGTTAAATTAATTGATCGATAAAGACTTGGAGATGGTGCAGTACGATCAATTGAACAGGGAATTAAAAAAAGATGTCGGAGATGGATAAAATAAACATTCAGGAAACCATCAAACTATATCGTCATACAAACCCCTAACCTGAAATCCTCAAGCTAAAAATGAAAGAGACAGACCAAAGTAAACATTGAACTGGGAACTGGAGACATACATCAAAAGAATGAATGAAACTTGACAACAACTGGAAAGGAGAACTCAGGCAGAGATGTTTGAAAATTCTTAGTCAGCGGATGTATGTTACACGAGGGTTAACAAGCGTAAGTAAGTATGGTGTAACCAGTAGAGCCAAAAAAGTTAGTAGAGAAACAATATCTCGACAACTAAATTAAATGATAATCATTATATATTACCAAGTGACTGAATTTAAAAAATGTCGGTTCCAACTCAGTGGTTAAAAACCTGTCTTGCTGGTTTCGAGGCATAAACAAACTAGGTTTTTATCTCGTAAACAGATCGATTATTGATGTGAACTCAAACAGAATCGCAAACTGTAATGAAACAATTGTTGAATTCTTTATATCAACTGGTGATGAAAATCACTTTTATATAAAATAAACATTAGCATAAAACCATTTATATAACCAAATATCTTATTAGACAGAAAACAAATTAAAATTTAAGAGAGAAATCAAATCAGTTATGTAATGACATACCTAGGCAATGCATGAATTGACAATGAAGAGTCGTGTGAATTTTTAATTTCTATATGACTTGGACGATGATGAACACGATCAAACTGACTCTTATTATTACTATTACTATTATTATTATTAATACTGCTGCCACCGCTGCTATTACTATGTGTAGTTCGATTACGTAGACGAATAGATTTTTGTAAATTATCTGAATGTGTTTGTGGAAAGTCTGTAGGAGAGTTATTATGTTGCATAGTGACTTCATTAACTTCAGCTTGTGAAGATAAATTATTACCATTATTATTGCTACACTTAGTTTGAGCAGCTCCAGAACCAAAGTTAAACAATGGATGATGCCAACTAATACGTGATCCATTATTCATTTTATTAGAAGAGATTAAATCCGATGGTTTTGGACGTAGAATAACACCATGATTATTAGGAGTATTATTATTATTTCGTAAGGTACCACCACCATTATTAGCATTATTGTCATTAGAATTTAATAATTTGACGTTATCCATATTAGTGCAACTTTTTGACCTTTCATTATATGCCATTTTTGAATCTAATCGTACTGCAATTGGTCGTGGAAGAGTCCTCATATATGATTGCATTGTTTTCAACATGGCTGAAGAACTATGTTGATTGTTATTATTATTGCCATTATTGTTATTATTACATCTATCACAATGACGATAAGATGAGACTGATGACGGCGGTGGTGGTATGTGAGAAGATGAAGAACATAAACAAGATGATATTATAAATGGAAACGGACGACAGGAATAACCATATGATGAAGATGTCTGTGAATGTATATCAGAACTTGAACTTGTTGAACGACAAACACGTTTTGCTGGTGGTAAACGGTCATGTAAGTGTTGAATATGTGAATATGAAGAATTATTTACTTCAAATAGACAACAAGAACAACAAACTGAACAAAAGTAACATGATGTTGATGAAGAAGAGGAAGAAAACGGAGACGAACATACTGTTTTACATGGTACATTAAATTGATTAATTAGTACATTCATATGGTCAACTTTATCATCTACAGAACAAGGAAATGAAGCTGATGAAAAGTTGAATGTACATGTTGAAGGTGTAGCGGTATTGTTATTATTATTATTAATTTGATGATGACGGTGGTGATGACGATGATGATGATGATGGAGATGAGGATGATAGGGATGATCTATATGATGATAATGTTGATGACAAGATTGTATTTCGTTGAATTTTGATAGATTTGACATAGAATTTAATGAATAATTTGTAGCTGGAGCACTTGCAGATACTAAACAAAAATAACGAAAGAAGAAAGGATCAATATACTTTTATAAATATAAACTCGATAAAATAGTAGACATAATGTAACTTAACAATTAAATATAAACTGATAATACCCGTTTGTCTAACCTGCCTAAAGTCAAATAGAATAGGGAAATTCCACCAACAATTTACTAATGTATAACAACTGAACAGTATATCTAGTCCTAAGGAAAGGCACTGGAAGATACATTATGAAAAAGAAAAGGAGAATATTATGAAGGTATAATGTAAAAAGAAAAAAGAATCAGGTAGAGAATTCAAATAGTAATGTTGAAAATAAGAAATATAAAACATAAAGATTTGGCATTAAAAAAAAACAAAATCTCAGAAAGATTTCGTTCATTTCACTGGTACACTTTACACCATGTTTTCTGACCTATATCTCATGACATTTTAAACCCACTGTATTTACCTTTAACCAGCCAAAACTCTATTTAACCAAATGAATGAATGAATTTGGTTCCAAAATCCAAGACCTGTTATCCTAAATCTGATTGGTTAGTCCGTAAATTATAGTCTCGGCAACATCGTCAGTTTATCACTACCATGATAAATTCATAATTATGATTAAAATTGTGTCAAACTATTCAAACAAACAATAAATAAATTTGTTACCAACACAAATATATGAGTTTTAGTGGCTTATATGAACTATCCATGACTCATTTCCATTAAGGGGATAAAATGCGATCATAAGTCATTAGGTCGACCTTATAAATACGATAATTTATGTATCATACTTTAACTGGGTAACTAATAATTTTAGTGGGTTTCTGTAAGCTTCTAGAATATCATGGTCACAAACAAACTTAGAAATAGGGTTATTTTTATACGCAGAAAGAGCTTAGAACTCTCTGTTCATAATTTTCGTTCTTTGTCTTGTGTTTAGGATTCAAGTGTAGGAAATCTCTTGGGAACTAGTAAGCGTTTAGGAGTTAGAGATTAGCATTCAGGTACTAGGCAGCAATATCAGAGAGTAATAATTGATTGATGATATTGAACTCTTTATATTCCACTGATGATCACTGAATCCCTGTTTTTAGCAGTCTAAAGAAATTGTGTTCGTCAAAAGAGCTACAATTCCTTGATTGGATACTTACTAAGGTTGCGTAGATGTATGGCTCAATTCTGAGACATCCTAAATGAGGATGAAACAAATGGATGATATTTCACAATTTCGAATGATGTTATCCCATAAGGAAAAATCACATCTGAAGTATTTAACAATCTCCAAACAAAAAATCACCATCATCATTACGTAACATAAATGGTGTGTTCAAAATTGTGAAACATTAACAGATAGGGCAGTAGAAAGTTGAAAGATTAGAGATAAGATAATCCAATGTCGATTAAAACAATCTTACAATTGAATGTAGTTAGTGTGGAATTGTAAACATACTTTTTTTTCTTCTTTCTAATAATTAGTTATTTTTTTTTAATGGTGTTTAACATTATTCATTATTGTTACAAATAACAATCATAACTGATGATTGATTGGTGTTACTGCAGAGTTTTAAGGCCTACAATATAACACGTATGAATATTGTTTGTTATTTCTCCTGATGAAAGAATATTTTACTATTATTTTTTATTCAATTACATAAGTTAACAAAAATGAATGGTTAAATGTAATAATTTCAGTTGCATAATAGAGAATGTTGTCATCCTTATTTAACGTGTAAATTAAATAAATACGTAAATGAAGTTTGAATATGTATATTTCATACAATCGTTGGTTTGAACAGACAATCAGAGAGAAGGAATAAAGGAAGCGAGACAGAACGAAACGAATGGACGCGCAGAGGAAAAAGCGAATGACCCAACTCAATTATATAATGAGTTACTGCAATTGATCAGTCTGATATTGGCACATGTGTATCCTGTGAGAATCGTCTCGATATTGCCATCTCTGATTAAAAGTTTCCTATTATGTTCTTAGAATTAATCGTAAAATATGCGTAAGTAGCGGTAGTTTTCTATTGACAGCCAATTTAGAATACTGTGGAAGATTTGCAATTTTAATCATACGTAGAATTAGGGCCTCAATACATTTTATTTTATTATTTCAAGGAGTGTGAAATACGAAATTCATCAATCAGTTATTATACTGTCAATGGTTTTTGGAAGTTTTTGGGCTTCACAGTTTATATTACAAAATGACCTAAGTACAATAACCACTGAAAACCAGGAAACATTGGACAATTGTTTACTCCTAGTATAAGAATCCTCAACAATGAGCATTCAAGACCCTATTGCGAACTGAATTTAGGGCCTTTAGGTCATGATATGAACGCTAAACGTTCATATCACTGAGTTGGCATCAAAATAGTTTATGTATATAATTTTGATTGGTTCGCGATATTATGAAAACATCTTTTAGTGCAACTGGTCGGTAGCTTCCTTAGACCAGTCATGGTCGCACTCCACTGGTCACACGTCATTAGAATCTCGGGTATCACCTCTCGAATTATTAGTGAGCACATGATCATTTCCGGAGTAAGAGGTTTGTTTACACCACGAATTAACCACAGATAGATTGGCAGTTTGCATAACACGTGAAAATATTGATTACCATAATCATTGTTGTTACATACTAACGAAGAAAAAATGAATGGTAACTGCTAGGAATTATTTGCGGATTGTTATTACATATATTCCTATTGGATAACTACTAAGTGACTATATTATATGTATATTTATATTCCTTTTATTATAAGCTTCCATTTGACCTATTGACCACTATTATACGATTTACTATTATTAGGTTATTCACAATCTATTAGTTACAGTCTCTCACACTCACAACCACTTTTTGGCGTGATCTTGTAAAATTGTTATTTTCTACTTTATAGTATGATGTGGTCTGGTTCGCTTGTATATAGGTCAAGTATATCTGAAATATATGATTCCTATATTGGAAGTTGAGATTGTGTTCTGGATACAAACGAACAGAGCTAGGCGAGAACCAATAAGGACTTAGAATTGATTCTAGGTTGCTCGTACTGGCTAACGCGTCATTGGTTTGGCACAGTGCCAAGGTCATGCATTCTTATTGGCTATCTTATCACGTGATAATTAACAGGGCATAAGAACATAATTTTTATCACTAATGCATACATAAATCAATTCTAAAACAGAGAGAAAAACGGAAATCCAACTTACAGAGATGGAGAGAAGACGAATTCGGCTCAAGATTCTATTAATAGATATAAAAAAAGACGAATAATAAAGTCTGTCAGTAAAAGCATGATAGATTATGTAATAAATACATACGAATATATGGTTTAATAGTTTCAGACGAGCATAAGACAATAAACATCACTCATAATACTAATTTAAATAAATGAAGGTGCTTAAAATGTCGGAATTAGATATAAAAGTCGCATAAGTAATTTTTCATTAGTCAACTAACCGTGCAATTCATTGACATCTTGTTCAGAGTCAAATCTATTACTAGCTAACAGAAACACTGGTGTGAAGTGCACTGAATCTCTATTGTGATTGACTAGAGTGAGATATTAAGATTTTATAATTTTCATCCCAATGATGACTAATTTATTATTAAGTAGTATAATTCAATCAATTTCAATGTTGAATAAATCTGAGTCATTTACATAAGCCAATCATTGGTCTCATTCAACGTATTAGTTAATTGATCATGGTAATCAGACGAGCAAATGAAATATTTTGTTTTGTTTTTTCTATTTTATTAACTTCTGTCAAAAAATTGCTCTACCATGATGACATATATACGTTTATTTAGAATCAATTTCAGTTGACTTATGTGCATAAGTTTAATTTTAATATATTGTAACTTGTAGGTATAACTGATAAATGAATTCATATTAACCTGATCAAATGTTTATTCTTAGTCTCTTTAAGTTAATGAAGGGAACCATTTCTACGAGCTATTCATTATATCATTAAAAATAGAAATTACTATATTTGTCTGAAGAAAAAGATGAGATAGTGTAACGAATGAAATTATTTCATTGCAACTATATTCCCTGTATCGATTCAGGTAAACTATATTGAGTGTGCGTTTCGATAGTAACTTTATGTATTCTCCTTCCCTATGTGATGATTTTTATATGTAAAAATTAGAATACAAATGATTGTATTTTGATCAACGACGATATGATTTTGGGATTTGTTTGGAAACGTGTTTTTGAGGTGTAAATAAAACTTCGTTGCACCATTCTTTCATGTTCTTACTTCGCATCGTGTGAATTGTAGAGGTTTCCTTCTTCTGGTAGAAGCAGTAGAATAAAGGAATTACATTGGTTCCTAATGGGTTAAGTGAAAAGAAGTAAGACTGTGGGGCTCAACAGAGCCGAAACGTCATAACCGCTAAGATATAAAAGTTGACTATCTGGATACAACAATGGCAAAACGAATATAACTCAGTCAACCAAACAGTTCAAACAGTGTTGACAGAGTCATTTTCCAGTTATAAAAACTTACTAGTTCACTTTGATAACCAGGTAGTAAGTATAATTAGTCATTAAACAGCATGATTTGAATAAGAGTACATGAATCTATATTTTGTAAATCAAAGGGATTCTAGAAAATATTACTTATAACCATAGAAATATTATCAAATAGAATTATTTTTTAAAACATAATCAACACACATATACATGTATACAGTAAAGAGTACATGATTCAAAATCGGCTGCTAGCTTTATTAATCCATTAAAAGTGTATTGTGTACTACAACCACTGACAAATAAAATAATCTCGATAATATTCATACTACCCAGTGTGTGTGTGTGTGTGTATGTGTTATGAATCGAATGAAATTACTTTTTATTCAACTTAAAACTGCTTGAAAACAATATCAGCTAATATAAAAACGTTACTCAATTCTCTGTTTGTTTGTTTTCTATTTTGAAAGAAAAAAGTAACTTTTTATTTCTTCTGTAAAGTATTCCTTTTTCTTTAAAGAAAAAGAAAGAATTTTTTTAATTACATTATTTAATTAACGATGTATTACAGTTGTGTATATCATTCGGAACAAGAAGGGGCTTATACAGCATATATCAATAATAGGGTAATTATTAAAATAAGATAATTGTTAGGATCTATTTTCATCTATAAATATTATTTGTTTAGATTAAGAATTTAAGTTTTAAGTAGATAAACAAGGGGGAAATGAAATGGGGATGGTATGATTGCATGTCCGAAAATAATGTCTATTGAATATTGAATACAATTATAAAATGACGGAAGGCTGACTATGAAGTTATGGATGGTTATTTCCTCTGAAATAGTCCATTTACCTATCCTACTACAATGAAGTTTCATCGCTTGCTGTAAGCTAACAGCATTGAAACTTATTTCGATAGTGGGTAGTGATGAAATATAAGACGTGCGTTTCGTCTTATCTGGGACTCGTCAGTCGGATGTTTCTACAACCCAGTGTTGATGTTAACATCTGAACTCAAACACAGCACATTTCACTTCAAACACCGAGAACAGTCTATAACGTCAACGAGGCGAATTAGATTTAAAATAAATTGAAATTTAATCAGTTCCACGAGCCAGCGGCTCACTGGACTCAGTATCCAAGTAGATAACGCACCGGTTTTTTTAATGGAAATGTACTAGGTTCGAGTTCTGGTATGAGCATCAACACTAGAATGCGGGTACATTCAACTGGCGAGTTCATATGTCCATAAGACTGTTCAATCGCAATCCTAAACATCAATGGGAAGATTCAAACAACCACTAGAAATGAATCAGAATTTATTGTTCTTGTTCCACATTGAAATTGAAGAATGTTTCAAGCTTAAACAACAGGCTGGTAAAGATTTGAAAACAATAGTGAATTATAAATAACGGGCAATAAGACTTGCAAAAATACAAATGAAGTCACACTACAAATCAAGGCTTCTCATCGTCTGAAAACGATCGAAATTTACAATAAATTTTAAAATTAAAAATTTAATATTGATAACGTTCAATTAGAAGTTGCTAGACTAGCTTTTAAATTTGTGCTGGTAGGTCACATTTTTTGAAGATTTCATTACTATTCTATCGACTAAGTGAAACGTTATTTCAGAAGGATTTATGGAGATAGTGTGATTTTTATAGTGCTTAAGTCAAGAGCTGACCATAGTTAAACCAGTAATGAAAACCTGAAAACATTGGCTTGACATTTGCACGTTTGCGCGCGAGACCGAAGGTCCTGGGTTCGACTTCCAGATGCAGAGAAATGAATAAGCATTTCTAAATGGTCTTATACTAAAACGAAACATGTTCAATACCTTGAGGCTTCCAATAGAGGTCTAAGAGAAGTTCTTGATTAAACAATGGTAAATAAAATATGTTAATTTTTTATTTGTAATTCGATTGTTCACAGTACTTGTAGATTGTTTGTAGTTGTATATGTATTTCACAAAACTACAGTTAATCAATCACAAATTAGCACAAGAATATAGCAAATATCAAATTTTACAGCAGTACAATTAGAAGAAAACTAACAAGATTATGACACCAAACTAATAGAAACAAATAGTGTCGATCAGTGATAGTGAAAAAGTGTACAAGTAAAAGATATTTTCAAAACAAATGAGCAAATGAGGTTAAAGGGAATGAAAAGTACGTAAAATAAGGAAAAAAAGATGGAAGAAAATCGAGAATGTAATCAAAAAGCTGCGGTAAATTTGTAAATATGTTACTTTAAGTCTTCAGCCATTAATTACGATTGTCTTACAGATCATAAGCCAATAATTTAATTTCTGTTTATCATGGATCATTTAAACCCGTCAATAACTTGATTTATTGATCTTATGCCTTGTTCAGAGATGATTCTGGGATTGATCCAATCCACATAATTATGCTTATTCGTGTTGTACGACAAGAAACTGCTACGCTTGAAGAGCTAACGATATCACCTAGAACCGGTGAACGGAACGAAAGTCAGCAAAACAACAACAGGATACTCTCAGCTATTCCACTGCAACCCAGCCCTGCTAACTAGAGAGAGAAGGCCAGATTCAGCCAGAAAAATGCATCTTCCACAAGCAGCCCAGAAGCACGAACGAACAAGAACACAACTCATGTGTATATATACAAAACAAAAAATGTCCTCGGAAAACACCACAAATAGAGTATTAAAAGGGAAAACGAAACAATGACATTTGAGGTCTTTCCAAGTGAGATATACAAACTGAAGGTGAAATGGCCACTTTTGGTGCGAAAATGAGAAATTCGGATTCCAATAATAAAATTCCAAAAATGAGACGTTTACCAAGTGATTTCTGGGGATCTGGCATCCTCAATACCTCTGTTTTTTAACAGCGTTTGTTCTTGGGGTTCACCTGATTATTGACTGTTTGCCGCCGTTGTCGAAGTAGTCACCTTCTGGACTTTTTCCGTCGGGACTGAGGGTAAGTTGAAGCTATCTAACCGAACTTCAAGTGAGATATATCTGTTTCTTGATAGGCGATCTGGGGCTAACTGTTTCCGTAGCTGGTTCCGGTGTCATCTCCATCTGTCTCTTCTCACCTCTACTTTATGCATGACTTGATCTAACCTTCCGACCACACACACTTCAGTCCAGGGATCATGTTTGGTCTGTAGTCCCGAGAGAACACCGAACATACAACCTCGTACTTTGGTAACTCCTAAGACATAGTTTGTGATGGTAGTGTTGTGGTTCTCGATAGCATCAGGTTTTGGATCGTCCTCAGCCTTCGTCCCATGAGTATCAAGATGGGGCAGTCTTAACTCTACATGGTAGACGGTTATACTGGAACAAACCACGATGGGCATTAGTGGCCAGTAGTTCTCGCGATTCTTCATCCACTTCCATTTGTAAATAAGTATAATTGAGGTCCAACTTTACGAAGAACTTCTCACCGTTTAGCATAATGAGTAAATCTGAGGGAGTTGGCAGCGGGTAATGATGTTGTTCAAGGACTGCGTTATGGCCTGTAGAGAAATCGGCGCATATACGTGTTGTGCCATATGTCTTCTTGATAGCCACAGTTGGTGCTGTCCAAGAAGAATCAGAAACAGGTGTGATAACCTCTTGTAGTTGTAGACGACCGAGTTCTTCATTAACTTTTGATAATGCCGCATATGGCACTGGTCTATTCGGGCGGAAAACAGGTTTAGCCCGTGGCTTCAACCGAACGGTTGTTTTCATAGAAGAGCACCAATCCAAAACAAGCTGGAAGATGATTAAGAACTGTGTAATTAACTTCGTTGTATATGCTTCCGGTTCAGGGGGTTGTCTTCCAGATTGCATATGGTAATTAGCGGGACGTCAGCTAGCTGTAGCTGACCGAACCAATCTAAAGCGAGTAAATTTAAATCAGCTGACGTTACGTTACATACCCAGTGAACGTCGATTCTCGGAAAGACATTTTATAACCTAATTGCCCCACGAAGCGCAGATAACTACCACATACTGTACGAGGCTGTTGTAGCCTTCGATCACTTTCAGTCAGTTAGTCATATGAAAAGTAGAACCTGGCTCATACGTACATCAGTTCCAGTTGTCATAATCCATTAGTACAGTAAGATGAAATTGTTAGGTCAAATCCCAGAACAGTAGATGTAATCACAGTATTCGTGGTAATAAAGAAGATTAGTCATAGAAGATACGGTTCTACAAAATATAATTTGGTAAACTAAAAAAATCTACAAGGTAATTTAGATACTTAGGATCCTAGAGAAAGTGGAGTGAATGAAGCTGCACCATCGCGAACGATTTAAAACAATGTGGCCCAAAATCCTTAACCACTGTTTTCGATACTCACTTTAAACAACGAACGAAAACCAGAGAGCATTGGGTAGACGTTCCGTTCCACTATGGAACTTGTCAGTGATGAGCATCCATGAATTCACTTGGAATAGAACGCAGGTTCTTCAGGGCATGTGAAAAGCGCTAAGCCGAAAGAGCTCAGACTATTGAGTTAACATGCAATAATTTACATTACTAACTTTGGCCAATAGGTAAATTAATATTACTCAATTAGGTTACGGATTGAAAACTATCTTCTGCGCCATATAGTTATCACTAGACTTCCCTCTCGCGTCATATATATAGCTTTAGAACGATATTTCTACGAGAAAAATATGAATATATTAAACTGTTATGTCAAACCACTATTAAACTTCATGGAAAAAGAAATACACTTACAATTATTTCACTTCCATCTTCAAATTCTGATATAGTAGACTTGAGAGAAGAACAAACACTAGAGCTTGGCGTAAATACATCATGAAAGTGTACAGTACGCGAATGATGATAATCTTTTGATCCACTTCTCCAATCTGTATTGTTAATAATTGTACTATCATTATCATTACTAGTGATATTACGTTTCATTTGTAAACCAATAACAGAGTGTATAGGCATTGAAGAAGCATTTCTTGTTTCATTTATTGTCTTCAAACCATAATATTCACAATTGATATTATGTTGTCCTGTATTCATTGATTTACTAGTTGTTGTTATTGTTGGCATTACTCCAACTGTCATTTTCATCATTCGCATTGTCATACATGGATCACGTTCATTTAAACTGGATAATTTTAATTGATCAGTTATTAGACTTATTGAACTTGGTGGACGGCCAATACTTATTTGTTTTTGATTATTATTATTCCCAAATGTTACAGGACATTCAACTGTACTGTTAATTCTACTTTTACATTCACTACTTGTCATAGTAAATATTCAGTTAAATTTTATCTATTTTTTTATCAAAGAAAGTTTAAATTAATGAAATAATTTTCACCATCTTGTAATAAAAATTAATTCCAAGACTTTTTAATTTAACCAATCTGAACAAATTTCAGATGGAAAAGGAAGTTTAGATTTTCCAATTATTTAAACTTGAATCCAATGTATATTTTAAATGATAACGTTTGAATTTGAATTCACCATACGCAAAATCATACAGTACTAAATAGACTGAAATAAAATTTAACAAAACATCCGGAATAAATTTAGAAATATTGGCATAATTTCAAATAATGAAGGTAAGAGAGAAGTCATTTATAATATTTCACGTCATTATTCACCTTTATATATATATATATATGCCAGCATAGTTTTTATCACATGATAAGAAACAGAACAAGTTCTAAAATACTAACGGTTTTAATAATGGTTAGATTATAATTTTATTAGCTGATAACTTCAAAAAAGCATACGATGTAATTATAATTATATTTGAATGTAAGTTCCAGCACATTTACGTAAAAGTCAAACATATAATATGTATATATATATATATATATATATATATATGTGCATGTGTACATACTTGAGAAATATGTAGTTATGAAATAAGGCTATCACATGAGTACTGAAAATAAATAATCACATTCAAGGTCAAAAGAAAAGGTGTTTGGTATTTTATGCGACTATCGTTTAGTCTATTTTATAGGAAAAAGAAATTCATTTGCCAACATAATAAGATACAATTAAAATAATTTTTCCAAAAAAACAAAAACAAAACTCTTTATAAGTGAATAGTCTAATCACAGGTATTGAGTTAAACAGGTTGACTACAGCATTTATGTGTTGGAGTTTCATCGGGCCTCATGCCTTAATAGTTGATGTAATTTCGAAACTGATACAATAACCAAGACTTGTTTTAAACACTACACGTCATCTGTCGGGCAGAAGAAATTTCTGTTTTTCAATTAACGGATGAGTATACTTCGAAACCTTTCTTTGTATTACTTAACGACTGTAAACAAATGAGAGATAAAGATAGAGGAGATATGTATGTTACCAGTATCCAATCACAAATCATTAAAGTAGGTGCTGTAGTAAAGTTAAACCATCAAGTGAGTATTGGTGACGTTAGGCTTGAGGTTTCAGTTGCATACGGTCGATAGGTTGGTGGGGCTATGGGAATTTATCAACTAAGATGCAATATGGATGTTCACCTAACACCTACCTCTGTGTTCAATACGGATCGGGGTAGGGATGGGTTGGAAAAATGTTAGGAACGGCCAAACAGAGACATGATATATATTCATTAAATTACTGATAGTTGGATTGAATGGTATCGATAAGTGAAAAATGCTTGGTTAGTATCAATGAAACAGTTGTAAGTCATGGTTACAGACGTTAAGTAATAAGAATCAAAATGTGATAATGGTACGAATATATTGATTATTTAATCTTTTTTAACATTATAGGTATTATTATCTATTTGGATTAGATTTCTTATAATTAATTGTTCACTACTAATAAACACTGTCATTTAAAATTAATTGGTTTCTATTTTTTTTAAATTCCTCACAATATCGCATACACTTTTAACTGACCAATAAAAACTTGGTATACGTATGTGGAGTGAGCCAAACTAACATGCTATTCATTTACTACCATTGAAATATGTGTACAATTAAACGCAAAACACAAAGACAGAATATTGTTCAACTGAAGCATCAGGTCATGAAACAAATAAGTTGACATATGTTGGCGTGTATTTATTTGGTGTAGAGAGAAAAGACTGCATATTATATATATATATATATATATATATATATATATATATATATATATGACATATTTTTGGCTCAGTGCCAAAGATTTATTTGACTATTTTCTAATACAAATTAAAAATGTTAAATCTAACCATTCGTTTCATATTACGTAGATTATTATTTACAAGTTGATGAAGAAAAAACTTTTTAAGAAAAGAACACATGATTTTGTGTAAACAGCAATGCTTGCCTTTCGCATATCTCAAATGAACTCATTAATACGATAGAGATTAATTGATGTTTTTTTCGTTAATGAAATACTACATAGTGTAGTATGTATATATAGAAAAAAAACAAAATTGTTATAAGATGGCACATTCTATTTTACAGTAACGACCTTCAGCGATTTCTGAAATGATCTTGGTGAGGTAAGGGCAACTGAGATTCAAGTGTTATAAACAAATGAGTTATTATATAAAAACCTAGATAAGTTTGAGCATTGTCGTGAAAAATAAGAGAATGTTTTGTAGTCTTCCGATGACGAAAGGCTGTGGAGATGATTCTTTGATTTTAAATGCTATATATATATATATATATATATATATATATATATGGATTTGATTTATTTTTCAATATTTTCCATGACAAACTAATAACCATCTAAGCTTCATCTCAAGAGTTGTCCAAGTTTATCTCTACTCTTTGATTTTACTATGTTTATTAACTTTAAACACTTTAGTAGATAAATATTGATTATTCCTACTTAATTCTTATTTAGCTGCCAATAAGACACAGAGGACCTGTCATTGAATTTTGAGTCTCGCTTAAAAATCCAGAGATCATCATGTGACCAGTTCATCAGTGTAGTATACTGTTACCGTCGGTATTAGTTTAACGTGATTCCGTGATTCCATCACGGACAAACTTCAGATGAATGAGCAATGAAAAATATTCCTAATTTCAACTATTCTCTACAATCCATTTAGCTAAGTAATACTTGAGTTTTTACTGGTGACTAATTTAGAAAAAGACAACCGAGGTTTAAACGACAAATTGTAATCAGTGAAGTTCAGCTGTGTCGAGAGTGAGACACCACGTATCGGTGATGTTTAATGACGGTCATGCTATATCGTGAAATGATTGTGATATGACTTTTCTTCCCGTCATATTAAATTGAAGTTGGAAATGCAAACAATTACATTCCGACTAAATGGTTTATTGATGAGACATCTCTTCAAATTTCTGCTTTTGTCATTTATAACGAAGAATCCATATGATCGCACAATTTGCGTAAAAGATACTATGACATCCGTAATTTCAATTTAGCGGAGTACATAATATATGTATACCCTGGTAATACTAGTATTAAGTATATAGATCTGTATATGTGGTTACATTGGTACGGTGAAACCATTTCCACTTAATAGGGAACAACGAAAATGAACTTAAGAAAGGTTTACTTATTAATAGTTTTCTCAAAATTAATGATAATAAATTAACTCATTCTCTATATATTTGGATGTGAGCCACATTCTAAATGTGAGTCTAACTTGACGTAGGTGGGGCGGGGTTCGAACCCATGGCTGAAACTCGAACAACAGCCACTAAGTCACTGTTATTAAGAAGATTCTCAACTCGTCAAATATAACCCTGTTCAATGCAATATCACATGGTTATTGCGCTGAAACCACTTAATAATAATGTGCAATCTTTAGAATTGAGTAATAAAGTCGGTTACAAAGTTGTAATGTTGGTTCAATTAAAATTCACAAAAATACCATAGTATTCTTCAGACATGGAGTTCGTGTGTTTACGATGATAACCAATCCTCTTCTTGAAGGCAACAATAAAAACATGTCACAATTTAAAGACAAAATGAAATAATCGTAGCATCTATAGATTTGGTATAAAATATTGGTTTTTTAATGTATAAACTGAAAATTGTAAATCCATTTAATATATTATCTCATACTACTCGCATTTGAGTAGTAATGTGTTTTGTAAGGTTAACGTTTGAAAACTTTTTCAATGAGTGAAAAAATAAGATACTTAATTACAAAAGACAAAGAGCCAGTAGACTTTACTTAGCGAATTGACTAGGTTCGAGAGGTAGATCTTGGAGTTCTAGTGAAAAGCCATGGCTAGTGGAGTTTAACCATATATTTAGTTATTGATTAATCAATCAAAAAAGTTAATCACTGGCCATTCTCACAGTCAGTTAAACTACAAATATCCGTGTACTTTAAAAGGGGTTTCTCTCCTAAGTATGTCCTAATGACGTTGTCCAGAGAGACAAAGAAAGCCACACATCATAACAATCCAACTCAGAGAATACAACACTTCTAACAAATTCGATATTTATTCATCAAATGAATCCAGATAAAAATACCTCAATACTACCGGCGTTACCAAAATATCAAGTGTTGTTCTATAGAAACAAGTAGAAACAGGATGATAAATTAAAAGCTTTCACTGATAGCGCCTTTTACTAGGGAAATTTGTTGAACCTGAGTGATCGAAGATTATTCAGAGGCTGGAATAATAGCTAATGAATGGTCAAAGCAAACAAAAAGGGGCGAAATAAGCAACTAAAGAACAAGAACTCTATGCATACAGTCAGAACGCAAAAGACTAAAATTAGTAGCGTCTATTTCATTTGTGAGGAGTAGAAAACAACCAAATCATAAGGCAAATCAATAACGATGTAAGGTAAATGTTTAGGGTAATGTTGAGAACTCTATGGTGAAAGAGATATACATAAATTACAAGTTGGAAAGTGAGGATAGGAAATGAGAGGGCTTATAAAATGGGACATATGTACACAAATGGCTAACACAAGTCAAATCTACATCAATTAACACTACAGTGAAGATAAATTGTCACTGATTTTCTATGAATAGACTGATTCAGAGTAGAACTGAACGGGAACATAGTTAGTCATTGAAGAGTAACCAATTTTCTGGAAGCGATAGTAGTTAGATTTTATAGGCCAATTTCAAAATTACCGAAGTCAACTTGACAGTACACTATTATGTGTATTTATACCAAGATGGGTTTATATTTCTTAAATACTAGTTTGTGCATAGAAAGAAAATGTATTAAAGTACGAGTGTTTTATCCTGTTAATAAGTACATTGTATGTTCAAACCCAATACAACCTACTTTGGTCTGGTCATTAATATATTAAATGTCATTAAATTTTGCACCAGAAAAGTGCAGACTGAAGTTGGGTATATGAAGTTGTAGTCAAGCAATTGAGTTGTATAAAGTAACTAACTAATAGTTCAGGTGAAAAAATTAACGATGAGAGTTATATAACGTTTATAGAGTACAGGTAAGTGGAGAGATGGCCTAGTAGCTCAGGCGTTCGACTTTCTGCCACCGAGCCTTAGGTTGGAACTCCGCTCCACCTATTTCAGTTTGCGCAACCACATGGTATCATTAGCCCTTACATTCATAGATTGGCTC